TGATGAACTCCAAAGATGTTCTGACTCAATGATGATTGGGAGTTTCTTCCCAGTGGAAAGTGAAAAAGAGCTAAAAGAGACATCAGCTGAGATTCTACGATCTTTGGTGAATGGAAAGTCAAGGCCGAGGCCTGGCATGAACTTAGGGTATCCTTAGAAGACTAGCACAGCATCCCCATCTTCTCAGAATCTAACAGAACCACAGACTGGCAAGGGCTATATGTTGGAGCCCACCGGGCACGCCCGCACCGGCTCAGGCTCTCCACTTGGACAGCAATCAGATTTAGCAGAAGACCCGGGTGGAAATGTGCATGAGCCCTTTAAAGTCTGAGAAGATTCACGCCTCTCAGCATGGGCTTTTCCAATGAGAAAGGCTGAATTTCCAAGTGGGAGGTTGGAAATACTGGGGGATTTTATGACCCTTTGTCTAAGAGCATGGTAATTTGCATAGGGAACTGTATTGGATGTTGATATGCAAACTATTAAAGATTCTTAGAACACTAATATGTTGCATAGGTATCCACATATAATATAAATGCTCATTTAGATCATCAGAAGACAAATTCAAAGAGACCAAACATGGTATCGGTGGGGTTATATTAACTAGTGATCTATCATAACACACGCACAAAACAGTATACAATTCAAAAGACAATATTCAACAACAGTAATGGTATACACAATGTCCTGAGGAGATGTGTGTTCATTCACAGAAAGGTTTTTCTATGAATTAATTAGAGAAGAGTCCATTTTTATGGGCATTGTGTGTCTTTCCTAAGGGTAAATTAATTGAGAGTTGCTCTGCCCGCATTCCTTTGAGCAATAAAACTAGTGTTATCAGCATTGGTTGCCATGGAACCAGAGGCCTGTTCTGCCTTTTAGAGGCGTTAACCGCTTTTCGGGGAAAGGGTCCATTGAGCCCTCATAGTTGATTGAGGGGTGTTACGGAGTATTTGTTAAATATAACAAAAAAAATGTGTGTCTGATTGGTCCAAATGCTACATGTGCATGGCTTGGTTATCTGCATTTGTTTCCATTTTAACTCCTGTGGTGATTCCCAAAGCTCCAAGCACAGCTTTTCCAGTTTTCATCCCCCGAGACATTGGAATACGACTGAGCCCTGATCGTGCTGATGGGACATCAATGATGGGCTGCTGTTGAGTAACAGAGAGGAAAGGAACAGGATGTAATTCTTGGCCTTTCTTAAATTATTGTTCAATCATATCCCCACATATATGGTTTAAATGAAACACTTACCACTGAGAGTGTAGGTCTGGCTGGTGCTTTAGTGACCTGTGTGATGGTGATGCTGCTCATCGCTTTGCTAGATGTTGATTTGCTGGCAGTCACACTGTGTGGTGAGCGTAGCACTGTTCCGGTAGAAACTTCATTACACTCAGATGATACGGCAGTAGATTTAACCATGACGACTGAGCCATGATCAGTGGTCTTCTTGAACTGTGATCCTAAGTGAATGTGAATCTTACTGTCTTCTGTGGTAATGACATTAGCATTTGACTTCTTGATAGGTGTGGGGACCATTCGTTTTTCGGGAGTCTCCTTAAATACAGCTCTACCTGTTATCATGTCCACAGATTCTTGGGAGCTGCTGATGGATGCAATGGATACAGGAGATAACGATTTATCCATAGAGGGAGACCTCATGATCTCTGCACTCTTTACTCTCGAGATGGAGGCAAAGGTCATTGGTGATCTAACTCTTTCAGGATTCTTTGGCTCTTTGGTTCGTTCATTTGTAGGAATGATGGTTGTCTGGGGGTTCTGAATTTGTGATAGTTTGGCAGAAGCTTGTTTGTTCAAGTCCTCAGACAGGCCAATGCAATTCTGTAAGGTTGCTTCGTTGTTCTGAATATCTGGGATCACCTGAGCGTGCAATGGATGGTCATACTTTTGGGACATACTGACTTCAGAAGGTGCAACCTCCCCACTGGTATCCAAAGATACTTCAGAAGCACCGCTGTCTTTCTTCCTCATCCAAGGAATCCAGGACTTCTTCACAGTATAGTCACTGACTGTTGGAGGATAAAGTTCACGCACTGTCGGTCTCTGCGCTGGCTTCTTTAAGCTCTTCTGTTGAAGACTACTCATGATCCGATTCTCCTCTTGGACAGACTTCTTGATAAACGCAGCAGGTGTGTCACTGTCAGCTGTCCTATTTTCAACTGAATCGGTTTGTACTCCAGTTGACGTCACTGGAACATCCATCATCCGGCTTCCTTTGGTGCTGGGCCGTAAAGTGCGGCTGTAGCACTTGGTGACCTCAAGTTCTTTGGTAAGGTTTAGAACTTCAGTGCTTATACTCTTTTTCTTGTCTTCCTCCTCTAGAAACCTCTGATGCAGAACAGAATAATCCACCTGTAGCTGGGATAGCTCGTCTTCTTTGTTCATTAGCTCATGAATCTTCTCCTTCAGGGCTTGCACATCTGTTTGAAGGTCTCTGGTTTTGGCCTCCTCCATCATGAACCGACATTTCAGTTCAGCCTCCTGACAGCTTACCTCACCTTGCTCTATTACCTTACTCAATGCTGTTTGACTTATTTCTTGTACCTGCTGTGGGAGAAAATGTGCCCTTTCTTTCTCAGTTGCTAACAAATTATACTCTGGTTTATTCACATCTCGCTCAATGGCTTCGAGCTGTTGAAGACGGTTCTTCAACCTTTCAATTTCCAAAGTCAACTCCTTAACTTTATTCTCATCTTTTCCATGTGCATTTGAGACACTCTGCAGGTCCATCATCTTTTGAAAAGATTCCCTTTCTTCTTTGTCTGTGGTACTGTGTTTCATTACACCATACTTGGAGCTCAGATCTGTACACTGTTCTTCTGCTTTAGTAAGCTTTCGCTTTATTTCATCTCTCTCATTTACAAGAGCAGCTACCTTCAACTCCATCTCTGACTTTAGTTTCAGACGCTTCTTGCTCTCCTCTATTAACCTCTCAGTAACCTCCATGACTTTCTCCTGCTCTGCCTTATAGAGTTGGTTCAGTTCATCTCTCTTCTTTTCCTCAGACCTAATTCTGTCTGTCATGTTCTTGTGCTCATTGACCATTATTACAGTAACTGATTTAAGTTTCAAAAGATCCTCTTTTAAATCTAATTCATCCTTTTCCAATTTCAGCTCAGATGATTCAAGCTCCTTCATACGGATTTTAACGCTCACAAGTTCGTCTGTTAGGTCTTTAGTCAAGCTTTTCTCCTTTTCCAAAGCTGCCTTCAACTGGGCACATTCTGTCCTGCCCATGTTGAAGGTCATCTCTAGTGTCTCTAACTGTGTCATTCTCTGTTGCAGTTTTTCCACCTCTAGCCTCAGGTCCTTATTCTGAGCCTCCTCAGCCAGTAGCATCTTCTTCAACTCATTGCATTTGTTCTCAGTTTTGGTGATCTCTTCATCTTTACCCTCCATTTCCAGAATTCTTGTACGCAAACTCTCAAGTTCTGCCATCAAATTTGAGCTGCCACATTCACCCTTTCTGATCTTGTCCCTTAACACCTGGAGCTCCTCTGCTGATTTCTGAAGAGCTTTGTTGGTCTCTTCAAGCTCCTTAAGTCTGTGTAATAATTCTATCTGTTTCTGGGACAGTTGCTGATGTTGAGATTCTTGGCTGGTCAGTTTTGCAGACATCTCCTCTTGCTCTTTTGCAAACTTAGAAGTTCTTAGCTCCAGCTCAACCTCAAAATCCAGGAATTTCTGGTTGACTTCCTTTGTTTTTTTCTCTGCCTCATGTAGTTTCTTCTCATTTTCATCAAGTTTTTGAAGAAGATCTTGTATTTTGTGGCTCTGTTTGTCGATTTTCTCCAAGTGAAGTTCTCGCTCATCAACCATCATGAGTGCAAAGGACTTCAGCTTAACCAGCTCACCCGATGTTCTTTGCATTCGTTTTGAAAATTCTTTTTCCTTCCTTATTTGGTATGTTTTTTCTTGTTTCAGCAACCACTTTAACCTAGTGAAAAAATAAATAGTAAGTATGACTGACTTAATGTATTGACTCGTATCTTATTTTGGAAGCACATAATAATTACAAAAAACTAAATAATTACTAAGTATTAAAAAAAATTGTAACTAACTGGGCCAAGAGTTTGTACTGATGATGTTGTGCCTTGGTAATTTGATTTATGAAATAATGAGTATGTCACGTCCTAGTTACATTGTCAGTTAGTAAGTCATAAAATGACCACAAAGTACCAATAAATTACGTAACTGGTATATTGTTTATGTTAGCTGGGTTACTTTTTGTGCCATCGGTTGCGCATACACTCAAGCTCTGAGGATCTTCCGTTCTTGGCTCATTTTGAATCAGACTTGTGAATTCACTGAATTTTTAACAGGAGAATAGCTCTCACTGGTTCATTTCAATCATTGAGTTGTTGACTCGAGAACAGCTGCGATCCGATCAGTCCAATTCACAAATGAATCGTTCAGTGCAATTTGTTAACTAATTTAACAGGTTCAATGAAAAGAATCAGCTCCTTCGGACACTGCTACTGCATCTCGGAGTGGGTGATGATTTCTCCAGTTCAAATAATAATGAGGAACAACATGTTTTTAAGAGATGTAGACGAGTAAAAAGTATGATATTATGCTTTGGAATGTATTGAAGTAAAAGTATCTCAAAATAAAAATACTTTGATAAATGACATATTCTTGAAAAATGTACCCAAGTACACCCCTATTACATGTTTAAATATGAAACCTCTGTTATTCTTATTGCACGTCTTGACATACTGTATTTCTTTGAAATATAAAATATAGCAGAATTACTGTATATTTAGTTTTCTATGGCCACATTGTTTATTCTTGTTTAAACTGTACTAAGTAAAGTTTGAATAATGTAATTTATTTGCATTTTGGAGTTACATACAAGAATTGTGCAATTCAACATTTAGTTTTTTCCCTGCTATTTCTCTCCTCTCTCACCTCTCTCGTTCCTGCTCCAGGAGGTTGGTGAAGTCATCGCTCTTGTTCATGTAGTCTATGTGTTTGCGTTTCTCAGTGTCCAGCTCATAGATAGTGCGCCGGTGGCTTTTCTCAGCCAGTAAAAGCTGTTCCAGCATATGGCGGTATGAGTCCTTGTGCTTATCCCGCAATCTGTCCAGCTGAGACATATAGACAGTAAAAAATACAACTACAAGACTAACTAACAGAGGGAAGGACTTTTTTAAGACTAATTGTTGACTTAAAAGAAATAGTTCATCCAAAAATTAATATTCCGTCATCATTTACTTAGCCTTGTTCCAAACCATGACATCATTTTCTTTATTGGGTGAACTAGTCACTGTTATTCTTTCTCTGTGTGTATACCTCTGCCATTGGCTTATCATACACATTTTCGTGTTGTGCATGGATGTTGCTGAGTGTTCGGTCTCTCTGCAGGGCTTGCAGAGGTCGGGTCGGCCCCGATAAGACATAACGGGACTCCAGCTCCTCTGGTCGACTCAGCAGCGCAGACCTCAGTAGATGGATCACATCTTCTTGTGCCTGGGTGACAAGTAAAAATCATAAATGGTTTGGGTTATATTCACGGTGTGAATAATGGGGGGATTTGACCTAAATGGTCATTTGATGTAAAGCAGTCGTAGAAAGTAGCACACACGTAATATGAAAATTTTAATTTTGGCGACCCCTGAAATGGGTCATACCATTGGCATTACCTGAGAGATGCTGAAGTTAATACGCCAGAAAATTTGACGGACGGAAGCGTGAACATTATGTAAATAAATACATGTGTACATTTCAGCTGAATGATCAAATTCACCCTCTTTAACTTGATTTTGTTAAACTGTATGAAGAATTGTTTGCTGAAATTTCGACAACATCACCACTAAAAAAAGAGTGCCTGTTGCACGTTAAGTTGCATTCGTTACTATAGCAACAGTTGATTCCTGGCGCGGTTTTCAGTTTTATTGTAGTAAAAGTGTAGTAACCATGGTTTTTTAGCGTATTGATTACCTTTTGTATAACTACAGTTTTACTACGGTGACCGTGATTTCACCAAGTACAACATGTTCCTGGATCAACATTCTTGTTTATCTTGGAACAACATTCCAATTAACTAATCAGAATTGACGGATAACTTTTCAGGAAATATCTGTTTTAGGCTTACGATCAGGGTTAGGTGCTTCTACACCCTTGCAAATGAGCTATCATTCCACACTGATTTTAGAAATAAATTATGGGTACACTCTTAAAAATAAAGGTGCTTCAAAAGGTTCTTCAAGCGATGCCATAGAAGAACCATTTTTGGTTCCACAAAGAACCATTCAGTCAAAGGTTCTTTAAAGAACCATCTCTTTCTTACCTTTTCATAATCTGAAGAACCTTCTTTCGCCACAAAGAACCTTTTGTAAACAGAAAGGTTCTTCAGATGTTAAAGGTTCTTTATGGAACCATTTAGACAAAAAGGTTCTTCAATGGCATCGTGAAGCACCTTTATTTTTAAGAGTGTAGGGTTAGGTTTAAGGGTAGGGATTGGGTTTAGTCTATATTTTTGGACAGTAATGTTGATCCAGGATCAACAAAAGATGTTGATCCAGGAACATGTCTTACTTGGCAAAATCACGGCAAATACTTTTACGGCAAATACCATGGTTAAACTATGGTTAGTGTAGCAAAACCATGGTTAATTTGTGGTTACCATGTTTTTTTTGGTTTAATTTGTAGTAAAACCATGGTTAATTTCCGTAAGGTCCCTCAAAATGAATGAAATCATTTTTATATTTATAGAGAGAGAGCATGTGTTGCCAAGTCCGCGGTTTTCCTGCCTAATTGTGCTACTTTAACACTGTTGCCACGGGTTGTAGAAACTCCAATAATGTGATATTTAGCCCCTGGAATGCAAATTTTACCAGGGGAACCCCTCCAAAAACATGTATTTTACCCCCCGATTGGGCTAGTTTTGAGTAGCAATTGGGTGGGTTTTGTTGAGAAAACCTGGCAACCCTGAGAGAGAGGGAGACAGACAGAGATGTTAGGCGTGGTAAAAACACCTCTTGTAATCAGTGTCAGGGTAAAAATCTGCTAAAATATGCTACAAGGCATCTAAAGGATGAATAATCACTCCCTCTTCTCTTTTTGGAGTGGCAACATTAATTTGTGGTTACCATGGTTTAACTATAGTAACCATGTTTTTTTTGGTTTAATTTGTAGTAAAACCATGGTTAATTTTCGTAAGGTCCCTCAAAATGAATGAAATCATTTATATATTTATAGAGACAGAGCATGTGTTGCCAGGTCCGCGGTTTTCCTGCCTAATTGTGCACTGTTGCCACGGGTTGTAGAAACTCCAATAATGTGATATTTAGCCCCTGGAATGCAAATTTTACCAGGGGAACGTGTTACACTGGGGTGTATTCATGGAGCACAAGTGGAGCATATTTCTGTCTAAATGATTTGTAAAACGTCTCTTACATAAGTTGTTGCATACATTCCAGTGGAACAGATTATGTATCAATTTGCAGATGTATGCATCCTGGCCAAATTCGCCCATTGGCCTCTGACCATCATGGCCTCCTAACCATCTCCAAAAACATGTATTTTACCCCCCGATTGGGCTAGTTTTGAGTAGCAATTGGGTGGGTTTTGTTGAGAAAACCTGGCAACCCTGAGAGAGAGGGAGACAGACAGAGATGTTAGGCGTGGTAAAAACACCTCTTGTAATCAGTGTCAGGGTAAAAATCTGCTAAAATATGCTACAAGGCATCTAAAGGATGAATAATCACTCCCTCTTCTCTTTTTGGAGTGGCAACAACAGTAAAAATTGTATGGCCTATAAAAATTATATTGACACATATGACTTGCCAAATTGCTTAGAGGGAATTGTGGATGAGGATCAATGACTGACTGGCAGAGGAAGTAAGAGGATCCTGTACCAAAACGTCATAATAACACGTATGTGACAATGCTACATGTATTAACACATTAAAACAATGTATTATCACATTAATACAGTTACGTATCCATAATAAATATCTGCAGCTGAGGTACCTCAGTCTGTAAGTACCAAAGTTAAAGTTGCACAGATGAACACAAACAGGTTGTCATGACAAATGATACACTTTCATTTTCACATTTCATGAATAAATATTTTACCTGAATCTCTCCTTCCATGATGCCAAGCAGTTTCAGGAGGTTGTCTTTGGACAGATCTCTGAGCCCAAACATTTGGTCGTCAATCTGTGCTGATTTATCATCATTATTCAGCCTGATTTTCTCTTCATCGTCCACATGTTTAACCCTGATAGTCTTTTCTGTCTCCAGCATTTTCCCCTCCTCTTCTTCTTTGACATCATGTGAAGTTTGCGTGACAACCAGAACATCATTAACCATACTGTCCACTGTATTATCTTTGGACCTCATTTTCCTCCTGAGGAAAGAAACTGATTTTAATGCTTGCCAGTGATGATTATGTATTTACAAAGTACCAAAGCAACTGTAGTGCATGCAGAGGTTTTTTAGAGAAGTTGCTGATATTTATATAGTTATATCCAAAAAGTAAGATGAAAGATGATCTTTATAAGAATATAGCAGGCTACTACAAAATGCTGTATTAAATATCTGTCCAAGCTCCAAAGTCACAACAACATGAGTGGACTAGCAAAATGGTTTCTCAAACCTATGTTTATGGTTGTCATTTCTAGTGTGGAAATGTATTCAAAGAATGGTTTAAAAGTTACTATTCATGCTGTTTTTCAAGCTGTTACACTGGGGTGTATTCATAGAGCACAAGTGGAGCATATTTCTGTCTAAATGATTTGTAAAACATCTCTTACATAAGTTGTTGCATACATTCCAGTGGAACAGATTATGTATCCATTTGCAGATGTATGCATCCTGGCCAAATTCGCCCATTGGCCTCTGACCATCATGGCCTCCTAACCATCCCCATATCTGCTGATTGGCTTCATCACTCTGTGTCCTCTCCACCAATAAGCTGGTGTGTGGTGGGCGTTCTGGTGCAATATGGCTGCCATCGCATCATCCAGGTGGATGCTGCACACTGATGGTGGTTGAGGAGATTCCCCCCTTCTATGTAAAGCACTCTGAGTGCCCAGAAAAGCGCTATATAAATGTAAGGAATTATTATTATTATTATTATTATTATTATTATTATGTAATAATGGATTTATGAACAGTTCCTTCAAAAATTAATTCTGCTTGTCTTTCATGATAAGGCCCATCTGACAAAAAAAAAGCATATTTTAGTGACGTTCTGTCAGTTTTTAAGTTAAAGGGGTAATGCATTGCTTTTTTTAATTATTTTATAATGTTTCCTTGGGTGCACTCATAACAATAGTAGGGTTTTTACATCACAATCTGTTATAATTTAGAAATAAAATGTCATTTTCAACCCTGATTTTGTCCCTCTGATTTAAACACTTAAGACTTCAATGTAAATGCCCACCGCTATGATTGGCTAACACTTTGCATATGAAATAATGTGCCCTTCGGGGGCCCTTCAGTCAGAAATATTATAATTACAAGTTCTGAGCACATGGCAAAGTCATATTTATGGGAAATTCAGAATTCTTGATGATACACAAGTTGTGACATTAGAAGGAGCGTGTCAGTTTGAAACATTGCAGGACATTATTAATCTATAATATAGATAATGTCATATAATGTATAATAATAATAATAATAATAATAATACATTTTATTTAAGGCGCCTTTCAAATCACTCAAGGTCAACGTACATCAGCAGCAAGCAATACGACCACAATAAATAGCAATATCAATGAACCATAAAAAAGAAAAGGAGCAATTAAAAAAATATATATAATTAAAGATTTGAGTGTAGACTAACCATGTAGGATAAGCTATTCTGAATAAGTGAGTTTTGAGTTTAGCTTTGAATTGGGATAACGAATCTAACTTGTGGATGTTAGCTGGGAGAAAATTCCAAAGGCGAGGCGCAGCACGGCTAAAGGCTCTATGACCCATGGTTGTTAAACGAGCTGTGGGTGTATGGATAAGACGCAGTGAGGAAGAACGAAGGGTTCGAGAAGGGGTGTAGGGCTGAATGAGATCTGAGAGGAAAGTTGGAGCGAGGTTATGGAGAGTTTTATACATGAGAAGAAAATTTTTAATTCAATGCGAAATTTGATGGTAAGCCAATGAAGCTGTTTAAGAGATGGAGTAATGTGTTGTATAGATGGTTATGATACGAGCAGCTGAATTCTGAATCAACTGGAGTTTATGGAGAAAATTGTGTGGTAAACCAAATAAAAGCGAATTACAGTAGTCGATGTGAGAGGTGACAAGTGAGTGAACTAGAATGGCAGTACTGTGTGGGGTGAGCTTCAAATGAAAGAGTGCTGTCAAAGATGACCTCCAAGTTCTTAACCTGACGAGAAGGAGAAATGGAGGAACCATCAATGGATAAAGAACAACTACAGGACCTAGAGAGAATTAGTGCCTACAAGGAGTACTTCAGTCTTATTGCCATTAAGTTTAAGAAAATTGGCGGAGGACCAGGTTTTTATTTTGTGAAGACAGTTAATAAGGCAGATAGGTGGAAGAATGGAATCAGGCTTAGTAGATAAATTAAGTTGTGTATCATCAGCGTAACAGTGAAATTTAATACCAAATTTAGAAAAGATGTTGCCAAGTGGCAGATTAGGAACAACAGAGGACCTAGGACAGAACTTTGGGGGACGCCACAACTAACAGAAAAGGGATGGGAATGAAAACTTTTTAATTGTACGAACTGTGTACGATTGGAAAGGTATGAAGTAAACCAGGCGAGAGGAATACCAGAGATACCAATAGCAGATAAATGGTTTAACAAAATATTGTGTGAAATGGTATCAAAAGCTGCACTCAAATCAAGCAAAACAAGAATAGATAAGGACCCACCATCAGCAGCCATTAACAGGCCATTTGTTACTCTCACCAAGGCACTTTCGGTACTACGCTTGGGACGAAATCCTGACTGAAAACACTCAAATAAGTTATTATTACTAAGTGTATTTATAATCTATATCTAGAGATCAGTGAGCAATAGGGAATTACAATGCATGATTTTTAAGGTTATTTTAAATTTACATCCTGCATTTTAATAATTTTAAAGGGATAGTTCTCCCAAAAATTCTCCCAAAAACTCACCCTCAGGCCATACAAGATGTGGGTGACTTTTTTAAATCAGTAGAAGAGCAAAAAAGATTTTTAGCTGAAATCATGGTCCTTGGTGATTCATAAAATGCCAATGGCTCCCAGCAATTTGAGAGTCAAAAAAAGCTTAACAAGCAACACAAAATTCATACCCATGGTTCCTGACGAAATATTAAGGCCTTATTGAGCTAAATAATCAGCGTGTGCAAGATACTGAACGTTATTTAAATCATTATTTCCTGTAATTCAGAGCCTCAGGCAAATGGGAAAATCTGATTCTTTTCCACTAACTGGTTCTTTCAGACAGTTTGATTCAATTAACTGATTCAAATAACCAGTTCACTGGTTCATGTAATGATGACACAATGACTTGACATATACACAATTATATTATTAAAGCACCCAATAATGATGTGAAACATGGATGTTTTACATGTTTAAAGTATATCAAGTGAATAAACAAGTCTTAATCAACTCACCTTTTTTACATAAACAATGAGAACCCTTAAAACTTTCATTTGGCCCCTTCATTCAAGCTCTCGGTTCACAGATGCTCATATCATCGGCTCATTGGTCTTCGGTTCGAGTCAGACTGTTTCCTCAGTTCAGTGACTGCTGGAGGAACTGGAGAGCTGAATGAGTTGGCAAAAAACAGCATCACAGGATCATATACGCCGGTAAATTGGCTAAATTGAATTCCGAGTTACTGTTGGGCACATCCGAAAGCTCACCAAAGTGAACCAGTTCAAAAGAATGGTTCGTTCGTGAACCGGATATCACTCCAGACCGTTTGCCTGAGGCTCTGGATCACAGGTAATAATGTAGAAATATTATTCAGTTTATTGCACTGACCAATTGTTTAATTTCTCAACATGTAATGTGGCTAGGAGCCATGGGTATTAATTTTGTGTTCCCTGATGTGCTTTTTTTCATGTCTTTGAGAGGTGTCAGCACTCATAGTAAAGTGCTATTTATAAAGCATGCCTGACAGTTGCTTTAGCCATTTGTAGTAACTATGTTGGGTGTTTTCTAATACACAGGACTGGGCGAGGTTTCTTGGCAAAAAAAAATAAAAGTAGCAATCATTCCATTTGTTTAATCCAGTGTGATGTATATCCTTTTGCCGCTTACAGATTTACAGATTGAACATGTAAGGATTTACATATCTTAATACCACAGATAATATAATCCCGGAGAAGGAACTTAAAGGAAATGGAGGCCATATTAACAAGCCGCCCCAAAACTTTAAGACTGAATTTACAACTCATTTATTCACTATGTTGTGCTAACTGATTGCTTCATTTCATTGTCAGATCGTTATTGTCTCCTAATTTGGTTTGCTCAGTGCTCTTGAAGATAACCAAGAGACCCAGCTGGTACCCGCAGCTGTCCAAAGTGTGCATTCCTGTGCTGCCAATGAAGAATTGAAAGGTTTTAGAAGACCTATCTCATGATGGGTTCAATGTGTCTAAATAAGGGCTAGGAGAGTCATGGCATTTGCGATTGTGGCTTTGGCAAGACATGGAGTCTGCACACATGCACGGTGAACTAAAGGCCGAAGTCTCAGATTTGCGTGCCTGCTTAGCTTTAGAAGGTGTCCATGTAAGGACTGCAAACATAATCTAGAACCAATCTAGAATAGGAAATAGAAAAAGAAA